CTCTCTCTCTCTCTCTCTCTCTCTCTCTCTCTCTCTCTCTCTCTCTCTCTCTGCCTTTAGTAAGATTTCCTATTAATTTCTTTGATAAAGCTTAATGATATCCTATTTTATTCTTCTTCCTGTGACCTCCTGTCCCTACAAGACATTGGACAGTCTTTTAGTTCTTGGACCTTTGGATGCTCTTTTACCTTGCCTCTGCTTCCTTTGCTCACATGTTGCTATCCAGTGCATCTTGTCACCTAGACATGCAGATGTTCCCAGCTGCTAGATCTGCTTTTATATGCAAGGACAAAGGGGGCTTCATGGAGATAAACATGCTGGGCCTGCTCTTCTCACAGCAATTGCTTTTCGGTCTCTACCTTGGACCTCAGCACTCACATCCCCCAAACACTGGCCAGCCACAGCCCATCATCTGCCCTTCCAATGAGAAAGGTCCTTCCCTCTCTACTTCTCTCCATGTTATAAACTCCTGCCTTTACTGCTTTGTCTTGTTGACAGTCAGCACCTATTGGAAGACTCCCCTGGTCCCCTGCCCTGGAGTTTGCTCTCTGTGTCGCCATGGCAGGTGGAATATGCTCCTGTTGCAGGTGTCTTAACCACCTGGCTTTCCTGTTGGATTATCATTGTCTCAAAATATTAACCTGGCTTGTCCCTTCTGTGCTTAGTGCCTGGTCTAGAACTCAGCTCAAAGTAGACAGTGAAAGTCTTCTTGCATGATTAGATTTCTCTACATCTGAGAGCTAATTAGTGGCAGCATCAGTAGGACTGTTACCATTCAGGGAGAGTGAACACACAGCCTGTGTTGCTAATGGCGACTTGGGGCACTTCACTCTCAGCCATTTTGACTTGCTCGCTTCTGGGGTCTGTCTCTTCCTGTCCAGCTGTGAGCTAATCAAGCGTGAGGAGTAAGTCTTTTTGATCTCAATAGCAGGCCCAGTGCCTGCCACAGAATAAAGGGGCCTGAAGCCGAAGGAAGGAGTGACCTTGGTGCATTCCTCTCTGGCCTGAACCGGAGCTTTTCAGTCACTGCATTGGGTCCTGAGGTCCCTGGCTCCAGTCAACATGAAGCTCTGTCAGCTTCCTGGACTTCTTCCAAGACCAGGGAGGAGGGGAACTCACAGCTTCCCTGGCCTTGTCTCTTCAGCCTTCGTGCTCCTGATGGGAGGTATTGAAGTCGGCCTGGCCTACTTCCCCTTCTTTGCCTGCCTCTCTTCAGAGTTCCGCCTGGTCAGCTCCATCCTTGGCTTCAGCTACTCCCTCCTGTGGTAAGTGATGCTACCTGCTTCCATCCTCAACTCCTTGGGCTGTAGTGGACACAGAAGGGTAGGCAGTGACCTCTGACCTTCCCCTGAGGACATCTATGCCCAGAACTGAGCCCAGGGAGGGTAGGGGCCGCTTGTCCACAGTCCCAATGTAGCCCCTTCTTGGAACACTTGAAAAGTCAGGCCAACTTTGTCTGCCTCATGAGACTGTTCATAAACAGAATATTCCCCAAAGTGAAGGTATTAGGAAAGTTCATTTCTGTAAACTACTGAGGGTCCCATTGGGGTAAGAAGGAAAATTTTTGACAGTTACTCTTAACACTATCATGGATTCTCTCAGAACCCTCAGAGAAAGTTCATATGTCTCTGCGTGGTGTTCAGGGCTATGACAGCCTGGCCTCTTCTCTCTCCAGACCTCAACAGTGTCTAGCACATGCTTGCAGCCCTCCGAGACTATATGAAGTATGATCACAATACATGGTGCATGTGTAATTTTTAAAAATTTATTACAAGCTGGGTGTGCTGGCTCACACCCATAATCTCAAAATGCAGGAGGCTGAGCAGAAAGATTCCTACATAAGTGAGTTCAAAGCCAATATGAATTACATAGTAAGAACCTGTCTCAAAAAAAATAGTTAAAAAAAGCACACTGTCATTATTTCAACTCAAAATACTCTCCTTCACCTTTCACACTTATCCCATCATTCTTCGCTCTTTGTTTTTTGTTTTTTGTTTTTAAGCAGGTGTCACTACGTAATCTAGGCTGGCTTTAAACTCAACCGTGATCATTCTGCCTCAGCCTCTTGAGTGCTAGGATTACAGGCTGCACCAATTGACCTGAGATTCTTTGTTCCTTTCTGAAGCAGTTCTGGATGTTTTCTTTCATACGTGTCATTATGAGGTCTGATCAAAAATACAGTGAATATTTCTGCTGACTGTCATCATTAAAAAGCAGTATGTTGTGTCCTCGGCCACCTTATTCACCAGATCTGGCACTATATGACTTCTGGGTCTTCCACAAAGTCAAAATGAACCTAAAAGGTGAATATTTTTAATTAATTCAGGACACATAGGCAGCCACAGCAGCTCAACTAAGGGCACTCACAAAACATGACTTCCAGAGCTGCTTCAGAAAGTGGCAAGAATGATGGGATTAGTGTTTTTAAAGCATGGGAGGATGTTTTCAGGAGGATCAATGGCAGTGTGTCTTTCATTGTAATATATATTTGAAAATTTAAATGTTCACCTATTGTTTGATTGTGGACAATGGCTCCCACTAGACAGAAAGTTACTTGGCCCAGTCTGTCAGGGATGACCAATGACCAGCAGGGGCTCAAGAGCTACCAACATACCAGGAGCTACAATCTCAAAGTTTCAGTGATGTGCTCCTTAGAAATTTCAATGGCAAGTATAATGGGTTAGTGTGGAGTGACCCTTTCCATGAGCCTCTGACACCCTCTCACCCAGGAGAAGAGCCAGTGGGAATTGCTGGGTGGCTGGGTATTGTGGTGGCATGAGGACCAGCTTTGAAGTTGACCTGGAAAGTGCTTTGAAAAGGATAAGGTCCAGAGGCATGTGACTTCAGAGCAGTTGTGAAGAGGCAGGAACAGCCTTCCTAGGCCGTGGAGTGAGAAGACTCGGGTCAAGGCACTGCTTCTACCAGTGTGTCCGTGTGGCCCTGGATGCATTCCCTGCCTTCCGTGTCCCGCCTGAATGATGAAGAGAGGGAGCAAGAGCTCTAGAAATGTTCTTCCTCTGCCCATGAGGATTCAGAGATCGTGTCCTGCATCCAGGCATGTTACATGAACTCAGGGTCCACTTACTTTGTAGTGAACAGGGTTCCCAGCTGTGGAGGGCACTGGCCCTCTCGAAGGCTGCAGGGAATGGGAGGTAAGCCTGGGCCAGCAGGGCCTGGGCTGTTTTCACAGCTTCCACTTCTGCTGGGAGGGGATCTAGAGCTCCAAACTCGAGCTCCAAACTCTGTTTCTGTTCCTGCAGGTTTACTGTCACTGTTCTTCAAATCTCACAGTGTCCCCATGGCCAGGTAAGTACCTGCTGACCTTTCCTTAGGTTACTTAACTACTACGCTGTGGCCAGGCAGCAGTGTGCCTTTGGGCAAGCCTCCACCACTCTCTGAGCCCCAGTTTCCTCATGTGTGCAAAGTGGGGAGCTGGAGCTACTGAAGATGCTCCCATCTGCGTAGCACCTGACGCTCTTCAGGAGCCCCTTGCACAGAGTGTTCTCTCCCAGCAGCCCCAACATGAAGGGACATTCATCATGCCCACTTTGTAGTGAGACAGTTATGGCCCAAGAGTACTAAATATACATAACTCATAGCAAGCTGCAGAGTTGGAGGTTGAGGTCAAATCTGGCTGACTCTAAAGCCTGTTTCTTTCTGCTTTGTGTAACCTCAGTTTCTCTTTCTATAATGGAAGAATTAGGCTACATGAACTCCTAATTTGGCCATGCATTGTCCTTTTCAGAGTTGACAGGAGCTGGTTCATCCTTTCACTATGGGCCTCAGGAAAAAAAAGTAAAATAAAAACCACATGAAGTGAACCAGACTAAGAAAATGAGATTTGCCCCCCTGTTTTCAAAAGTCTTCATGGAAACATAATTTTAAAGATGAGACACTAAGGAGACTCTAAAATGCCAACTTTTAGGGGAAGTTTCAATAAAGCTCGGTTCATCCCAGTCATGCGCTATGATATAGCATTAAAACCAAGGCTTGCAAAGAACTTATAACCATGTGGGGAGAACAATGGGTGAAGGGGAGATGGGAGCCCCCACTTCTCAGCACGTCTCTGTCCTGTACCCCAGCCTCACAACGTCAGACTCTGATTACTCATGCAGAGAACTGTGACTAGAAATGTGAAGCAAGTGGTACATTGTGAAAGATTAGCCACAATGTTATTTGTCTTAAAATGAATTTTTTAAAGGCATTTTCAAAATGAAACTGATAATGTAGAAAGACTGTGAACACTACCTTGAGAGATCTGCTGCTTTTCCTTCAGCTCAAACAGCTCTCAGTCTTATGGCAATTATAGGTTAGTTCCTCCCTCCCTCCCTTTTTCCCTACCTTCCTCCTTTTCTTCATTCTTCCCTTCTTGCTTCCTCTCTGTTCTGTTTCTTCCTCTTCCTCCTCTTCTTTCTCTCTCTCAGTTGCTTACTTAACCTCTGTCTCTTGGTATCTCGCTGATATTTTTCAAAAGGAGCATTTAATTCCCTAATCAGACAAAAAATACACAAAATCTCTCTACGTAAAATAGAATGGGGGTCCAAGACTTGCATGCAAGGCTGCTGGCCCTCCCATGCATGTGGGGCTGGGGAGCAGGGATGCTGTTGACTTCAGGACTGGAAGAAGGTAGGCCTTGGTGGGAGCTGGCTGGGCAGGCTGATTTGTGTCCCCAGATTCACTTGGCAGCCTCAACTTGTCCTACTTGACGTGCACCCAGGGCCCTGCTTCTGTTGCAGTTTGTAGGGAGGTACGAGTCACTGGTGTTCCACTGGCCATCACTGCTGTGCCTGGCGTTCCTGCTGGGCCGATTCCTGCACATGTTTGTCAAGGCTCTGCGTGTGCGCCTGCACTGGGAGTCTCAGGCGGTGAGTACAGGTGCTACCTGGATCAAGTCCTCATGAAAGCCCTGAGAGGGAGGTGCTGTCATTCTGGATTCAAAACCTTGGACACAGAGTGGTGAGTTGAGTGGAGTAAGGCCCCCTGATATGTATAGGCTCTCTGGTTTGGGAAAAATGGCTCCAGCTTGGAGGACATGCTGGGGTCAAGAGAGGTCCTTTATTCTCCTATGCCTCATTGTGAAATAAAAACTTGGGGTTTCTGTCATCTATGAATGGTTTGTTTCATTGACTGGAGTTTTTCTTGTCCTTTGGTTATCTTTTCTAAATAAGTATGTGGTGGTCAGGACAACACAGGTTACACTGTAGTAACGAAGAAATTCCCAAATTTCACTGACTTGATAAAACTTCATTCTGCATCATTGATTCACGTCATTGAGGGCATTTGCAGGGCTTTCCCTTGTGTTTTCCTCATGGTGTCACATGGGCTAACGGAAGAGCTTCCAATGGGAACATCACTGATGGGCACATACAAAGGTGACAGAGTGACATTTACACTGACTTCTGAAGCCTTCACCATGGGTGGGGGAGATAGCTCAGTAGAATAAGCACTTGTCTGGCAAGTGCAAGGTCTTGAGTTCAATCTCCGGTATCACTAAATAAATAAATAAATAAATACCTCCACCATGAGTTCACCTCCATTCAGACATTTTCTGGGGCAAAGCCATCATTTAGCCACACATACCTTCAAGTGGGTGAGAAGTTACAACTCCACTATGGGTTGAAGGAGGCTGAACTAGATGAGCTCCAAGGCTTACAGACAGGTTGATACAGCATTCAAGTGCTTAATAACAAAATGGGAAGGCATTACAGTTACTGCACATAGCTTCAAAACTTTCCAGATTTCAATATGGAAATTGGGTCTTCCTGTGCTTCCCCCAAATGTAATCACTGGGAAGGCACTGCTTACATGGTATGAAAAGTTTGTCTAAGTGTAGTGCTTCTTGCAAAATATAGAAGTTTATCTGAATGTACCCTTTTTAATGGGAAAAGGCTATGTTGGGTATACTGCTCAAATTGAAGAAAAGATAATTTTCCTTCAATAGGAGGATACTGGGTTGGGGAGATAGCTCAGTGGTTTAAGCTCCTGCCTGACAAGTGTAATGACCCGGGTTGGATCCCCAGTACTGCATACCATGCTGCTGTGCCGCCACCAAAACCAGGTGTGATGGTGCACACCCGTAACCCAAGTGCTGGGGAGGCTGAGACAGGAGGATCGCTATGAATCTGAGCTGATAGTGAGACCCTGTTACCAAATCAATCAGTCAATCAGTCAATCAATCTGACCATCCCTTAGTGGATCCTTGTCCTGGACAGGCACAATGCTTCGTATGGTGTTTTGTTTAATGCTCTCCTTCACCTTCAGGAAGGTAGTATTTTCTCCATTTACTGACGAGACCTGAAGGTTAGGGATGTGACTTGTCTGAAGCACACAGAAGTAAGAAGCCAATCAGGATTTAAAGATTTGTATAGGCTGTACAAATCATGTTGGGTACACAAGAGCTCACAACAAGTGATATTTACATTTAAAAAAAAAAAATAGCAAAATAGGCAGCCACTGTGGAAATCTCAGAAACCTAGGAGTAAACACTTCAAAGTATGCCATTAAATAATAGTGAAAAAAGTAAAAAAAAAAAAAATAATAATAATAATAATAATAACAAAAGACTCTCCTCTTCATATATAGTAATAACATTGTTACTTGAGGTGTATCATTGCTGATGCAATGGCTTGAACTGTGACAGGAAAGAACCACATCCCCCAGGGAGAAAGCTGCCCTGGCAGCTTTGGGAGGCACAGAGCTAAGAACAGCTAGGGTCCTGGCATTTCTGGGGATCAGGTACCCAATGAACAGGAAACTGGCTCCTCCTCCTTCCTCCAGAAATGGCACCTGCCAGAGGATGGCTAAATCTTGTATTCAAATTCCTGCCCTCTGTGGCCCTGACCCTTCCAAGAGAGTGACGTCAAAGCCAAATGTCTGAGCCAAGACCTCTCTGCCTCTTTTCTCACAGGAAGCGAAGCCGGTGCTTCTGGAATCACACCAGGCCAAGCACGTGAAGCAGCTGCTAAGGAAGGCCCCGCCACAGTAAGTACACCTCCAGCCCTTCACTGAAGAGATTCACCAGCACTAGTGAACAACCCTCCCCACCCACAAGGCCTTGGGAGGCTCAGAAGGGCCTTGTGACTTGTTTGCTTACAAGAGAAACCAACCCAAGTGGACTAATGCAAGAGAGGAGGCTGGCAGGCTCACATTCCGCAGTAGAGCAGAGCCGCTGTATTCAGGGGATTAATTGATAGCATCAGACTTAGTTCTTTCTTCAGGTCTTTGTTCTTAAGTAAGGGGAGATAAAAACGATGAAAGCTACCAGTGCTCTTTTTCTATACTCAGCTTTTGAGATGAAGAACAAGGATGGTGATATTTCCAGAAGAATGAGGCATTTGTTTATCTACCACAGCCCCTTTTCTTGGTGTATCTTTATTCACAGAGAGGAAAAAAAGTCTTGGTTTCAAACCAGGGTGTATGAGTGGGATCCCTGCTTCCAGTTCCCAAGCAGAATGATCGGAACCATTGTGTTGGCTTTCATTTGCCTGTACCTTGTGAGTAGCTCAATGGAAATCGTTTTGTATATTATTAATGGAGCGTGGTGAAAACTGAAGGTGTGGAATCCTTAAGGCAAGCATTATAGCCTAGAAAGCTGGATCAGAATTGAATAGTGGTAAGTTAAATAAGCATGAAGCCTCAATACTACCATTTGGATTCCAAGAACACATTTTACCTACATGGTGACTGTTACTGGGAAAATTAACCTACATAAAACAAAGCATAATCGTTAAAAATCCATGTGATAAAATGTACCACTGACTAAAAATTGATAGAATTAAAAATAAAAATTGCAGCCAGATGTGGTGGTTTGCGATTTTAGAACCAACTACTAGGAAGACTGCAACAAGAAGATCTCAAATTTGAGACCACCCTACACAACCCAGTCAGACATTGTCTCATAAGAAAACTAAAAGGGCTAGAGATATAGCTTAGTGGTAGAATTTATGCTCAAAGCCCTGGATTGGATCACCAGCACCATGAAAAATAAACAAAATAAAATGAATAAGCTACAATAAGTCTATGGTATTATGTTTTTAATGGATCAAAAATCTAACCATCTTATTTTAGTTTGTTTTTTCTAAAATAAATTTAAGTAGTGACACAGTTTTGATCTCAATGTTTTACTCAGTGTTGAATGAAAACATTTTAAACACACTTTACATTTTAAATGTAAAATGGATAAGTCAAATGCAACATCTAAATACTAGGAATAAAATAGCAGATAAAATCTAATTGTCTTTTGCTCACTGAAAAGGTACTAGAATAATATCTATTTAAATGCATCCTATGGTTTGGTTTTTAAGGGAATGTACTAGGTTATGCTGATATTCTTATTAGCTCCCTGAATTTCAGTAGTTTAACACTAGATGTCTTTGCTCATGCAAAACTACTGAGGCTTTCCTCCACATGGTCACTCAAGAACCAAATATTCTTCAGTGTGTGCGTATTACTTTCCCATCACCAGGACAAAATACCCAACCCCCACAACTGAAAAGAGGAAGGGTTTATGCAGCTCGGTTTCCCGTGTGTCCAGTCCGAAGTTGGCAGGCCCCAAGGCAGAACCAGCATGTTGGATGGGCCTTGGTGGAAGAAAACTGCCCATGCCATGACAGCTAGGAAGCAGCAGGGAGGGACCGGGGACAAAAATACAGCCATGCATGTCAAACTACCTTGACTCCCTTCCAAAGAAGGGATGACTCCCCCTCCTGACAGACTCCCCCTCCTGACAGCACCCTACACCCACAGCGCGGCACATTCAGATGGATCTGCTGATGAGTACAGCACTCCCATCACCCCATCACCTTCCAAACACACAAGCTTTTTAAAAGACATTTTTAGCTAAACCATCACGGTGCTCCTTCCTCATCCTTGAGGATCTCATCACCACCCATGTGCAGTCAACAGAAGGAAAGGAACTTGGAGAAATGCTTGTCTGACATCTTTACAGACAGGATGGAAGTATCACATGTGCTTTCCACTCTGCTACCTTTGGCAAGAACCTGGTCATGTGAGCGAATATGAGGGAAGCTGGGAAATGCAGTCTAGCTTTATGCCTGAGAAAATGGATTTTAAAGATTAACTAGAGTTCTCTGCAGCAGAGAGTAACCCACTTGGAGTCTGGATGTTTCTGAAGTATCTACTGAGAATCTTCTGAATGCTGAGCACTGTGCTAAGGGCTGGGAGAAGATAGAGCCCTGACTCAGCACAAGCCTGGCCTGGGAGGTAGTCATGGTCTAAGACATAGATAAAAGTGCTCTAGAAGTTCATTGGATCATTCTACACTGAGAAGCTGCCTACAGGGTAATAGTGTCTGTGCTTCACATCAGAAGTAAGCCTGATTTGATTAGTGAAGGAAAATAGCAACAGGAGCTATACAACTAATGGCATGATGATCCAGGACCTGGTGACATGAGGATAGGGTGATAAGGTGGTGGGCAAGCACAACATTTGTAACAAAACACCTCCAGTTTAGAAATATCAATGAAGGGGAGCAATGGGAGATATGGCTGGAATTGTCCCCAGGGTCACCTATTCATTTCATTGATTGTGGTAATGCTTAGCGAGCCCCTTGAGCCCTTGTGGGGCTTGGTCTTGCATGACACAGAGTGAATAAGAGAGTATGAGGTCTTCCAAAAATGCACAAGTCTGTTCATGTTAGACTAGCTGGTGTCTAGAGTCATTTTCAGAAGAGTGGTGGATGCCTGGAAGAGGCTGGCCCCAAACCAAAGAGAGATCCATGTTATTCCCTGGCTGATCCAGGAACAGGATAGACTTCCAACCTTTACTCTGTGTCCCCAGTTCATTGTCATTGAGTTCTGCATGTTCGTGTATGTGAGAGACAAGCTGAAGGTGTTTGAAAGCGACCTGGAGAACTACATCACTCATATGAACCAGACGGGGATCCTGACCCCATTCATCCAGCAGGTGCAAGAGCTGATCAGCGTCGCCAAAGGTAAAGCCCTCTGCTCCCACTCTTTCTGCCACCTGTGGGGGGAAACCGAGGAATTTGTAAGTGGTGGTAGGATATTGCTGCTAGTGCTAAAACTACTTAGCAGATGTTGGAGAAAAATGTGTTAATTTGTGCCTCTCCAGGTTAAATAAAAAGACAAGAGAGGTCAAGACACAGGTCATTTTGTTGACCTATGAATTTTCTTTCTTTCTTTCTTTCTTTCTTTCTTTCTTTCTTTCTTTCTTTCTTTCTTTCTTTGTATTTTAGGGAATGGTCTACAGGGTGTTCAGGGTCTTACTACTAGATCGGACTCATAGTGGTCTGCCTGCTTACAGCCTCCCAAAAGCTGGGATTACAGGCATGCACCACCACTCCCAGTCTCAATTGCTGTCTCAGTATGTCCAGGGGAGGGGGCAGCACGGCAGGCCAGGAAATTCAACCCCCAGCCCCTTTGCCTACTTGCAGGGGCTTTAATCCACTGAGCTATTTGGCCAGCCCTTGAAAGTCATTTTTAAAACTAGATCTCCTGAATTTATTTCTCTTATTTCACTGACATTTTTGGATTCTTTGACCAACATCTTCCTACGCTCTCTCCTCTGCTACTGCCTTCCCTTGGTAATCACCATTCCCCCTTCTGCTTCTGTGAATTCAACTTTGTTAGATTCCATAAGTAAGTGGGACCTTGTGGTGCTTGTCTCTCTGTGCCTAGTTTATTTTACTTGGTATACTGTCCTCAGGTTCATAAATGTAATTCTTTCCACAACTCTGGTCACCCAATGAATTTGTTGCAAACCAAATCAGATTTCCCCATAAGGTCAACATTGAACCTATGGGGGTCAGGGAGATGGCTCAGTGCAATAAGTGCTTCCCTGGCAAGCGCAAGGGCCTGAGTTCAATCTGCGGTTCCAAAAAAAAAAAAAAAATGAACCTACACACTGAATTTGACTTGGTTCACAACTAGTTCAGTTTGCAGCCAGAATTGTGGATAAAATTAAGTTTATGAATGGAAGTGCCACTGTTTAATTCCAATAATACTCACTATACATTTTACTTGTGAAGATCCCCACTTCTATCTCTGTTCTGGCCACATTTTTATTTATTAATTAATTAATTTATTTATTTACTTATTTATTTAATGTTTTGGGGAAATGTTTATTCAGAATGTTGCTTTTTTCCCCATAATTTTATTGAGAAACAAATAGCAATGAGACAGTTTCAAACCAAATTGGTAGGACAGTTTCAATAATTAACACATTGCATACATTCTTCCTAGTGGTTAATTGCTGTACAAGATGCGGACTTGATATCCTATTTACAAAAACCATTAGAACAAATCCCTCTATTCATTAAGAGAATGGAACTATATATCTATCCTAACCACTTTGAATACACAGATACAAAATGGACATTCATCTATATCCCCTTTTTTGTTTAGTTCCATTATTTGAATATTATAGATGTGTTAACTCAGCAAAATATTCTAAAAGAGTCCAGTAGTCCATAATAGTATTGGGTCTTCCACTTCACTGGCAATTGCAGAAATTGTTGACCTGAGTTCCCTACAGCTCAACATAACAACGTGGCTTTACTTCTTATATTTCATTTTTATACTTTTCTGCTGAATGGTTAAGACCAAGGTAAAGCAGGACCTATGCAACAAGAGCTGTAGCTTTTGGGTCTGATAAGGGCGGTGAAATCCCCTCAGGATTTATCCTGAGATCCTATACCTCAGATTGTAGAACCTTTGTCAGTGTCAGCCATGTGGATGAGTCATGGCCATTGCTTGGCCAATGTGCTCTCTGTGAAAGCCTGAGAGAATGTTTTCTCTCTATGTGACTCTCCTTAGGCACACTCTACATCATTGATCACTTTCATCTTTGGCCCCATAATCTCCTTAATCAGAAAATTTGGGACATTATTGAGTTACATGACATTACAGTACAAGTTCTCATATGTCCTGAGTCTTAATTGACCTTGGAAGGCTAGGGCCAAAATGTTGGCTGTCCTTGCAGCCCTCCTCTTTCTCCAATTTTGGTCTGCAAACTTAGGTTGTTAACCCTCCTGGCCACATTTTTAAAGCAAACCTCTATTTCTTGGTCTAGGGTTCAAGGTAGCAAATACATCCCTGTATTCATTCATGCCATTTGAAATGCTTTTCACATGTATAAATATTCTAAAAATAAAATAAATTTACTTACATTCTGTTCTCTTCTGGCTTTAAAACAGCTGCCCTCTTGCCCCAAAAGACTTCTTTTTTTTTTTTTAACTTTCTGCAAAGCTTTATTCCAGAGGGGCTCAGTCCTTCTTGGCAGCTGCCTTCCTCATGGTGGCCAGCACATTGCTCAGCTCCTCAAGCTTCCTCTTGGTGCGGATGTGCGTCCCCACCCTTTTCTTGATGAACTTGAGGTTGTGTTTGTCCTTGGAGACCTTGAACAGCTCCATGGCATGCTGCTCATAGTGGGCAAAGCCATACACCTCCCGGATCATGCCCCACATGAACTTGGTGTGTTTGGGGAGGCATCTGTGATGGTGGCTGTGCCTCAGTTTGCTCACATTCTTAGTCACCTTGTGGCCCTTGTTGAGGCCCATGCCCATGGGATAGCCACAGCCATGGCTGCTGTTCTTCAGTGGTTGTTGTGGCGGAAACCCCAAGAGACTTCTAACTGAACACACTTCGTCTTTGTCGGGTGGGATAATGGCACTACATGAAAGGAACCAATCTCCATTCACCTTTCTGTTGACAGATCCCTCTCGGCCCTCCCTTCTGAGGAGGCGTTCCCCTGCATGCTCAGGTTTTTGTGGCAGTTTTTCATGTTTTGTGGGTTGGGTGAGATTTGAGATATAGCAATTGCCTCTTTGCAGTGATCACTGTTGTGGCCAGATGACAAGATAATTCAATGAAAAAGGAACATGCGTCTCAAGAAATGGTGCTGGAACAAATGGATATTCACATATCACACACTAAAGTTAGATCCTTACCTCACAAATTATTGGAGTTTTGGTAGAGACTGCATTGACCAATGTGGAGAGTATTGCTGTGTTAACAATGCGTACCCCATACATGAACAGAAGATACTCTTTCATTGATGTAGGGTATTTAATTCCCTTCAAAATCTTTTAAATTATCAGTTTACAAGTTATAAATTCTTTTCCTAATTCTATTCTTAATTTTTATAGCTTTTAATACTATTGTAAATGTAATCATTTTCTTTTTCGAACTGTTCGCTGCTTGGGTATAGAAATACAAGTGATTTTTGTATATATTGGTCATGTATCCTGTAAACCTTGCTGTTGTGGGTTAGATCTGGGGTGTCCCTGGAAATTCTCGTGTGTGTGGAAAGTGGATCATGGGAGCCCTGTAGATTAGGCACTTGGAGCGCTGTTGGGAGGAGGGTCTGGTTGAGGGAGGCAGGTCACTGAGAGTGTGGCCAGAGGGTCTCTCTTCTTTCCCAGCTCCTTGCTTCTCCCTCAGCTTTCTGACCACCACAAACTAAGCAGCTTTTCTTCTGCTGTGCCCATATGCTGTTCCATTTCTGTCTACAGCTGGCTGACCATGGACTAAAGACATGAGTCAAAATAAACCTTTCCTTTAAGTGTGGGTATTTTGTCCCAAAGGTGGGGAAAGTAACTAAATACTCGGAGGGCTCATTTATTAGTTCAAATAGCTTTCCATGAATTCCCTGGGTTTTACATGGACAAAATTATGCCATTAGCAAACAGAGAAAGTGCTGTTCTTCTTCTCAATGGGTGCATTTTATTTTTCTTACCTAATTGCACTGGCTAGAACCACTAATACAAAGGCGACTAGAATTAGCGAGAGCTGACATTGCTTTTCTTATTCCTGAGGCTGGGGGGAAGCCTTCAGTCTTCTACCATTCAGTATGGCATTCAGTGCTGGTTTTTAGCAGAAGCCCTGTCCAGTCTGAGGAACACTCCTGCTATTTCTTGCCTGCTAAATGCTTTTAATTACCCAGAGACATTGGATTTTATCAAGTGCTTTTTCTGTACCTATTGAGATTCTGCTTCTACAGAACTTTGAAAGCAAAGTCTGCATCCTACCCCACTGTTACATCGCTGCCTCCTAAATACAGAATCTTTTAAAATCCAAATTAGATTCTGGAAGTCAAGAACTTCCTGAAGGATGAAAGAATGAATAGCCAAGACTTCTCGATTCCAGTCCTCCTTATACCTGTACTCTGGGTAGCCACTCCTGTTCTCCCACAAATGGCAGATGTGAAACAATGTTGTCCATGGACTAGGTCTCCTGTCTGCACTCCATAATTTTCCCTTCCTTTTATTCACTGTCCAGTGAAAATATCAGCGCCAAAGGAGAGACATCTAGTACACCTCCTACATGTGCAGGAACTATCGTATATCAAGGGTGTGTATGACTAAAACAAAACAGAAAAATGAACAAAAGTTAACTATACAAGAAAGGTGGTAAAGGAAGTATAGATTTGGCCCAGACTTTTCCAGTGCAGGATTTTGCATCTCAAATATTCCATTTTATATTTGTTTTTCAAGGCTTTTCATATCACTTCTCATGTTTCAGGAGTCTGGGTGGCAACCATTCTGCCCGCCTCGCTCACATGTGTGAGCTATCTGTTCCACATTCTGGCCTGTTACAGGTAAGACAACTCTGGAAGTCATTTGTTTGGCGTTAGCCAGAAATGCACATGGCAAACTTTTCTCAAAATCCCTGAGCGGTGCCTGCAGTGCCTAATATGCGTCCATGAAGCCAACATGAGGCCCAGCGATAGCCATGTACTTTATTAGGAACGAAGAAATAACAACCATGGATTTGAGTTTTTATGATGAGCTAACATTATGCTTAGAATGTTCATCTGAATTTCACTACATCTTGGGGGCTATGTACTTTGATCTCCACTCTTACAGTTGAGAAAGCTTAGAATTAACAAAATTAAATAACACACCAAGCAATTATCGGATGATCAAGTCTTTCTGATCTCCTGTAGAAAGAGACCTTGTTATCTTGTTATTTCTGGTATACTCTGGAATCTCTGTTGGGTACTATTCCAAAATGACATTAGACTCCCAAGTAAATCTGGCTCAGTGGAACCAGTAACGTCAATCTCAAGAACAGCAGTGCAGGAAGAGGGGATGGCTTGAATCACGCAGGGAGCATTTGCATTTTGCAGGCAGGTATCAATTTTAGAATCTACTGCTGCTCTCGCTCTCACTCTCACTTTCACTGTTTCCTTCTCTCAGTCCATGCTCTCACCCAAAAAGAATATTTAGTGGAAGAGTATTTAGTGTGAAGTACATCTTCCTCCCACTCGTATCCCTAATTTGTTGTCCCAGGCTATATGCTGCAAATTATTTTCTGTGTATCCTTCCAGAAATTTTCTATATGCACTGCAGCTATTTGGACTTAGATGCATGTGTGCATGAGTGCTTGTGTGTGTGCATATGTGCTTATATGTGGTGCATGTATGTGCACATGTGGGCATGTATGTGCATGTGTGTGCTCGTGGTAGCCTATTTAACTCCACGGCTGCCAAGCAGAAACATACTGAAGCTCATACATCCAATTCTGAACTTTGTTTTAGGCACTGGTGAAAAAGTAAATTTACTTTTTCATATTATATTTGCTTTAGAAATATATTGAATTTAATCCCATATATACCAAACATTATCATTTCAAAGTATAATACGTATAAAAGTTATTGAAGTATCTACATTCTTTATTTCATTCTAAGAATTGCTAGTGTACTGCTCACGCAGTGTGCAGAAGAGCCTAGGAGAGAGAATGTTGAGTGAAAAAAGCAGAGCACAGACGCAAGTGTGGACGAGGAAACAGCAGTCAGTGGGACCTCCCTGTGAGGGTCAGGGACTAGACTAGCCCGTGGGGAGGCCCAGGGGTTGCCTGGGCTCGTTGCTTCCTTTTTATTTCCTTTTATGTTCTTATACAGTTAGGCTATCAATAATATTGGTTTCTGTTTTTAACTCTTTTTGAATCTTAGTGTCTAAATAATACATAGTAGTCGTAGAAAAAAATAGAAAGCAAAATGAAGTAAAGCCACACACAGCCTCACCTATCGCATTCAATCACCATTGTCACTTGGTCAAATACACTGTTATTACAATGTGTATTAAACTTTCAGATATTGAGGGTAAATCGGAACTGCACGGTGAGCTACAGGCAGCACCGTGAGCTAACTGCAGCCCACCTGCACAGGCCTTGCTGCTTATCTGCCCAGTGGTGATGCACCTACAGAGCCATAGTCACGAATGTTACTTAATTTCCCTCATTTTCTCCAGAAAGCACATGAAGAGACTGTGGGCGGGAGATAAGCACTTTCTCCCTCTGAAGTTCCGGGATCCTTCCCCATCTGAGAGTGTGGTAAGTCTGCAGGGGTCTCTGCATGCTGAGGCTGAGTATTAATGTTGGCCCAGGGTCAGAGGGTTGAAGGTTCCCTTCTGCTCTGAGGACCCTGTTTTCTTTTAAACCCCAGGCAGCCATTGCGAGGTACTCTGGCTGGCAGATAGCCTACATTCTGTGGGGTGAGTCCTGCCCTGTGACCTGTACAACCTTACGCACATTCCTGGGCACCTGTGGAGGCCTGGCTGTGGGGAGGAGGGGAGTAGGAAACAGCCCCAACTCCTGCTTCCACAGGACCTTCGGGATAGGTGGAGAAACATGCTCCATGCATTGTCTGCCCACCTGGCCTGCACTCTCAGGCTGTGTGTGCCAACAGTGGGGGTGACCCAGAGGAGGAACTGACTGTCCATCCCCAGGGCAGGGCTCAGAGGCTGTAGAACTTGGCCTTTGAACTGTACCTAGCAGGGTGGCAGAGGTGAGTGGGAAGACAGGAAATGTAGTGCCAGGGCTTCTAGAGAGGAGGGCACAGGGTGGGCTGCAGGGAAGGGCACCTGGGTCGTGAGGGGCTCAGAGTGACTCTTGCCCTCTCACCCGCAGGCTACCTCATCATCCACGTGATGCAGGGCCTGTGTGGCATGATGATCATGTATGGTCTGGTCCTCCCTGTCACCCACCACCGGGGCCTGGAGATGCTGCAAGGGTTGGGCCTGGGGCTGTAAGTGTTCAGTGGACATCCTGTCCTCTCCGGGTCCTGGGTGCCAGCTCAAGATTTCATGATTGGCTGTCACCTAGAAGGGGCCATCATAGCAACTCATGGGGGGCGGAGAACTTTGCAGTTTACAAAATGCTTCTTCTCCACCATTACGTGAGGCCTTCACAGCAGTGTGTGTGTGTGTGTGTGTGTGTGTGTGTGTGTGTGTGTGTGTAGATACATTATGTCCATTTTCCACATGGGAAAATCAATTTGTGGGGCAGTAAGGGACAGGACAGCTTGACAGAAGGAGGCAGAGAAGCCTGGATACACTTTCAAATCTGCTGCATGACTTGGAGCAAATGACTGCTCTTCGCTGAGACCTCATTAGCTATCTAGAAGATGAATATGAATGCTGACATCACTGAGCACACAATGCATCTCTTCTCCTGCTTATGAGCTTGGTGTTTATGTGCAGACCAGGAACTCTGGAGCTGGGCACTCTGAAACTAGGGCCTCCTTTTGCCATTACCCTACAATGCTCTGCATGGGGCATCGACACAGGCATTTTCTGGGGACCTCCCTGCTTGGAGCCCTGCAGTTCCACACTTATCTACAGCCAGAGAGTCTGGAGTGGTGCCTGCCTTGCCCTCTCTCCCATAGGCTTCTCAGACATGCCCAAACCCCCATGCCATTCTTTCATTCTCAACCTATTCAGCCACCTCTGATTTTAATTTTTTTTTTTTTTTTAAAAAAAAAGGACATCAATTTCAATCAAGGGTTGTGACCTGAAACCAGAAGAGCTGACCATGTGGCCTTAGGGAAGTCACCTCCTCTTTGTGAGCCTCAGTTTCCTGACTTGTGCTATGGGTGTGGAAATGCTTTATGAACATAAAGTACAGAGCTGATGCCCTCATTGTTCTGGGGGGTGGCCAGCATCTTTCTCGTCTCTCTATGGGCATCAGAGAAGGTTCTGGAAGAGTAGAACAGGACACCTCAGCAGTCCCGCCCTCTGTTTCAGCCTCACCATAGCCATTGTCGTGGGCCTCATGATCCTGCAGGTGGGGATAGCCGCCAGATTCTTTCTGCAGCCCAAGCTGGGCACAGCTGACAAACAAAAGCCCTTGGCTCTCAACAACAGGTGAGGGGGAAGGAAGAAAGGGGGGTAACTGTAGGGGTTCAGTGCTCTCTCTGTTCTTTTCTTCCCCTTGGCAGGTTTTAGAATGAATTCTATGTTCTCTAAGAGGCTGTGGAGCAAGGGACAGGGTGGGTTCTGCAACCAGTCTGCCTGGGCCCCAATCCTGGCTCTCTCCTTACAGCTCTGGACCCTTGCAAGCTTACTACACATCTGTGAACCTCAGGTTCCCACTCAGGGATACTTTTGTTTACCTTACATATACATTGTAAGGATGAAATGTTTTAAACTATGACTTAGCACAGCAATTCCCAGAACATGGCAATTCTTTCCAACTCATTCACTGAGGAGAGCTGGGCACTGAGGGTGAAGAGATAATCCTGACACACTTGCCTGTGAGAGGCCCACAGCCCCCTGACTGGAACAGGCACACAGATGGCAATGACAGAAGACTCCATGGGGAACAGGATGACTACAGGAGAAATGTGAATGATGGAGGAGACGCAGAAGCGAAGGGGAAGGAAGGGTGGGTAATTTCACTGCAGATGGGGTGTTTGAGTGAGCTGCACATAGAATGGAGGGTTTTCTACAGGAAAAGGAGGGTTTTCTACAGAGAGGAGAGGTGGCAGCTGCCACAGCACAGGTGGAAATGGCAAAGAGCAGGATGTATTAAAAGAAGAGTGAAAATGAAAAATGGTCACCATACAGTGGCCTAGGACAATGAAGGAAAGGAAGGGGACCCAAAGTGGCAAATTCCAAAAGCCCCTCTCAGAGGGAGCTCTGACACCCAGGATATAAAGTTTGAGGTTTTTTCCAAAGGCAACAAGAGTAATGTGACTGGCGGTCCTTTGAGAAGTTTTCCTGGAGGACCAGGACAGGTCCTTGCCATGACAGACAGTAGGGAAATGCCACGTTCTTGTCACATGGAAGCCTTAGAACCCAAGGACTGCATGAAACAAGCACAGCTCCCACCAACATTCATCCCACTTGGAGCTCAGGGCCCTCCCCCTCAGTCCAGAGCTACGTTCCCTCCAGGTCTGTGAGGTGACCACTCATCCTCCCCTACAACACAGCACAAGGGCACACAGTCGGGCAACAGAGCTGCAGAGTTGGACACCACTAGGTCTGGGGGACTCCATAGCCTGCCTGCCCAGCCACCTCGCCCTACTGAGGGGCTGCCTTGGGCTTCTGCTTGCAGGAAAGCCTTCCACAACTTCAACTACTTCCTGTTCTTCTACAATGTTCTGCTCGGCCTGGGCGCTTGCCTCTCCAGGCTGCTCATCAGTTGCATCCTGGGCACATGGCTGATTGCGCGCATCGACAGGACCATCATGCAGAGCGGCTACGAGAGAGCAGACATGGGTAAGTGGCCAGCCTCTGCTGGCTACCTGCTCTGGGGTGGGCTGGACTTGTACCTCCGTGGAAGCTACCTTGGAAGATGAAGGTCAGAAGCCTGAAATTCACATGTTGTTCCTGCACAGAGCTTAGTTTCTGGGGGAGAACGTAAAGCTAAATGGTAGAAACATGTGCTGCCTGAGGTAAGGCAGGCTTTTGAGGTGTAAGGGAGTCCTAGCCAAAGTAGTGAATTCTATCAAACAGCAGTTAGTTTATGAAACTCTTCAGAAAGTCCACATCTTAGCATTATTAGTGTCGGGCCAGGGAGATGGCTCAGTGGAATAAGTGCTTCCCTGGCAAGTGCAAGGGCCTGAGTCCAATCCCCAGTTCTGCCAAAAAAAAAAAAGAATAAATTAAAAAAAGAATTAGTGTTGTTCATTGGAAAATTTATTAAGTAAAAATGTTCTGGAGCTGAGGAGATAATCAGTGGTCTAAGCACCTGCCTGGCAAACACAAAGACATGGGTTTGATCCCCAGTACTGCATGCTGTGCTGGCCCTGGAACCCTGGGCACACTGTGCTGGCCTGAAACTGGGCATGGTGGCAAACGCCTGTAATCCCAATGCTGGGGAGACTGAGACAGGTGGATCACTATGAGTCTGAGGATGCAGCAAGACCCCACACCAAATAAATAAATAAATAAATAAATAAATAAATAAATAAATAAACTTCTGTTCCATGTAAATCCTCTATAGCCAAAGCCCTTGCTGAGACAATCCCAAAGCAGTTTTTACTTACCTTCCAGCCCCTGTCACCCATTTTCTTAGCCATTTAGTATCTGCACAGAGGCCTTCCCAGTCCTCGCTTTGGCTGCCACAAGCCCCTTTGACCATGCAGTTCTCCATAAAAGGGACAGATTAGAATGTGGTCTCTAAGAAACACCCAGATCTTTACAGCTCATTTTCTAGATTCTCAGCAAAGACAGGCATCACTGGGGCACAAACTCTCAGATATATCCTGAAGCATAAACCTGGCAGTGCTGGGAGCTACCTCCTGACTCAGCCGGCTCTGGGTTGCAGGGTTCAGCGCTTGGGTCAGCATGCTTTATGTGGATCACTATCATACCAACCCTGTGCTCGTCAGCTTTTGTCACATCCTGATCACGGGCCACAATGAGAGGAAACTGCAGAAGACGATCAAGTACTGGTGCCTAGGCCAATCAGCAGGTAACATTGCCTGTGGACCCTGCACTAGGCCCAGACAGCAGGAGCTGGATCTCTGAGATGTCCCAAGTTTCCCTTTTCCTGTCCCTTTCCTCTGCACTCTCTGTCCTACATGCCCTTCTGGCAGGATGTTCAGGACCCTACTAAGGCTTTGATGTCCTGTTGTTTGGCCTCCCAACTTGTTCCCTGGAAATGAGCTCTAGTTCTATTAGTGGAGTCCTCTACGTCTCATTTGTTTGATATTCCAAACCATGTTCCAGGCCACATGCCAAATGCCCTCCAAAGTGGGGTTCAGATTTGGCCTATCTTGTTGCTTCCACAAACTCTCTGAGGCTCTCCTGCCCCTGTAGAGCTCAAATTGTTCATTGCTATTTCAGCATTAGAGATACACATCCAGGTCTGTGAGACAGTTCATATCCTTCTGACCTCGCTGTTGCTTGCAATTTCTGACCTAGCTCTTTCAGCCATACTTTACACATTCTAGGAAGTTCTTCTAAAAGCCTTTGAGAACAGCAGAGGTAAACTTTCCCCCAAACATTCCAACCCCTGATTTGTCTGCTCCGATTCTATCCTAGGTCCTTGCAACTCAGCTAGGTCCAGGACAAGGTGGCTCCTACTGCAGACCCTGATCAACAACCCCAGACTCGCCATCCTCAGAAAATCAAAATCAGTGCACGAATCCCGGGAATTCACCCAGACTCTGCTGACGTGCTCAGATTGCTGATACTGGCCACCAGCAACTACTCTGAGACCAGACCCAGCCACCTGCTCCAAGAGAAAGCTTGGTCTGCCCGGTTTCTGTTCCCTGCAGTAGAATGACATGGCATAGGCCCTGTTCACAGAAGTGACAGATAGTATCAGCCACTTGTGGGATGGTCACCTGATTTGAGAGTTGAAGTCTAAGGCCTGTTTCACTTCGAGAGAGAGAGAGAGAGAGAGAGAGAGAGAGAGAGAGAGAGATTGATTTAAAAAACTAAAGAAAAGTCTGTTGAACAAACTTTGCCCATGGCTGACATCCACAATCCATTTAGGGTAGGCAGCTGGAGGTGCCTGTGGAGAAGCACTAAGTTTGATTCCAAGGAAGAACTTGTCACTGAAGAAAGTATTAAACTATCTACATCAAGGGACATCCCTATTTCTCTCTGAAACAGAATGTGGCCTCAATCCAACAGGATCCTCATCACTTCCTTTTTCTTAGGCTTTGTGGTGGGTGAGAGAGAAGCAAACGATCCTATCCCCTAACCTTGGAGGGAACTCAGGTACAGAGTGAGCTCTCTGCCCCATGGCCACTGGGGTGCGAAGGAGACTGGCATGTACTTGTGTTTTGCTTACAAAGATGTGCAAGTTCTCTATGACAAGGGTGGGTTCACCTAGGAAATCCTCTTGTCTAAGGAAGAAGGAGGGGGTAGACAGGCAGTCCAGGTAGGTGACAATAGGACCAGTTGTGTGGTCAGACAAGCCCTAGAATGTTCGACAAGGCTGAGCCATGTCGCATGTGAGGGCTCAGGGTGCTAATTAGGACCATTTCAGGATGCCCAAATGTCAGGCTGGAAGGCTTGGACATTTTTCCCATGTAGAGCCAGAATTGACCCAAATGTTTTCATCTTCAAACATAAGATCTCTGACGGCTTCATGAGTCTGAGGATCCCATAACATGGAAGAGAAAAATTCCCAAAGTGATTAGAAGCTGGTCATCACTAAGGACCTAATGTAAACTCAGTTCTGCTGCTGGGTGTCCTTGCCACATTGTCCCTTTTAGCATAATCTCTACAACCAAACTTTTTCATTATGGTTTCATAAAATGAAAAAACTAGGATCCCTGTGCCACTATTTTGTAGCTGTATGGTGCCTTTTTGCACTCACTATAACTGTAAAAAGAGGCTAGTACTCCCTAATGCCAAAATTATCTTGAGGATAAAATGAGTTAATACACAGAAAAACTCTTAAATCAGTATCTGACATCATAGATTTTCCAAGGCAAAAAATTTGACTTTAGCTGTTGCTAAGATTTAAATATGAGTAACATTGCCCAAAGGTACCACTGTGTCAAAGTCTTTTTCCCCAGGTTGGCACGAGTGGGAGGTGGTGGGACCTGCAGGAGAAGGTCCAGTGGGAGGTCCTTAGGCCCTTGGGTGCACGTCCTCAAACAGGAATTCTGGGATCCCAGTCTATCTCTTTGCTTCCTAGCTGACATGCTATGTGCTTCTGCCATGAGGTGCTACCTCATCAGAGGCCTAAAACAATGGGCCGCTCAGACCTGAACTGGAACCACAAGCCAAAATAAATCTTTTCTCTTTCTAAGTTAATTGCCTCTGGTATTTTGTTAGAGTAGCAGGAAGCTGACTAAAACATACCTTATTTCATAGGAAGATATCCAAATGGCCAACAAATGTAAGAAAAGGCACTCTTATTGCTACTCATCAAGAAAATACAAATTAAAGGCCTGTAATCCCAGCATTTAGGAGGCTGAAAACAGGAGAATCACTATGAGTCCGATCTACATAGTGAGACCTTGTAAACCCTGTAGACTCTGTACTAAATACAAAAAAAAAAA